TTTTTTGCACACAAAATTAATGCATACAACTATACATTTTAAAATAGCTGTCCTTTAATAAAATAGCCCTGGGTGTAACATAATAACACACATATTTTAAAGTTTTTATTTAATTATTAATAAATGCTTTTTTTTTAAAGTTAGGGCAAACTGTTCAAGTGTTACCAAATAGTAAAGTATTCTGGAGGAAATTTCTGATTTCTAATGAGAATACCTAATTTAACTCATTAATAATAATAATATTATTATAATTGATTATGATGATGATATTAAACATATTATCCTTATCACTTACAACATTTTGTAGCTAATGAGAAACGAGTTGGCACAGTTTTATGCAAAGGCTGATCAGGACACAGCACACTGAGAAATGTCGACTTGTTGAAAGCAAAAAAAATAAAAAATGCAGCTGGATCAGTGTAATTAAGAAACGAATTATAATGTAAACTGTTAGAAGTATCTGCATACTTATATAAGCTATCGTTACATATAAACAACCCCTGAAAAGGCCTGACGATTGCGAGCTGATGAAGAAGCTATTCAGTTAAGAGGGAAAAAAGATGGATTATACTTACATTCCTAGATTCAGATGTTTAATGTTTTTGCTAACTGTATCCGGTCTGAAATCGAGGCACAGGAGACACCACCATAAGTGTTTACCGTTTGTTTTCTGTAATTTGGACATCTCGCATAATAGAGCAGCAGACGCTTGAGGATCATACGACAAATAGGACTCGACGATTTACTGGACAAACAGTTTGTAAGCTATCAATAATAACCCAATCACACCATACTAATCATTTTTACGCTTGGTCCAGATGCGACAGGCTCACAAAACACACTGAAAAAAAAGGTTTACATGTATTTAAGAGCACAAGCAACTTCCTTCTAACATTAACCGCCAAATTTTTTTGAGCGAGTTGTCAGCGTCCGTGGCTTAAACGTCGCAAAACTTTGTCAGGACAGCCTTTGTGTAATCCTGATTTATATCTACAATTGATAGGCTAAAGCAAAATGGCGAAGGCGTCATTCAAATTGGCGAAGGTCTATTCAGTGTGTTTATGTATCTGCATTTAAGTGCACGAGAATACGAGCGCTCGAGAATGTTGCATGTATTGGAACACGACCATTAAGTTTGGGCGGGACCTCGCTCGATTACGTTATTATCCCTACTACGGCAAGCCGAAAAGATCAAATAACAAAATAGGACGCGTTCTTTGTTTCAGAAGAACTCTGAAACAAATCTTCTCTGCAGTCTTTGGATCCTACTGTTGGTCGAATTTCATTTTCTTTTTCCTCTATTAAACACAATAGTCGACATGTTCGGACTCTTTTTCAAAGGTTTCTAGAACTATTATAACTTTATGGAATAGTTGTGTTTATGGTGTTGATGGTCTGATATGTATGGAAGAAAAATAATGCCATATGTCTTTGAAACAAAAAAGCATGTTGATGCATGCAATTGCATTGACAGTGCTTGCATTTTAATGCCTTGTATTTCCAGGGCATGCATTTAGGTCCTGAAATTGATCGTAGTTGTTTATTTAAGCTGCGAATATTTCCATTCAAAATATTTCACACACATTTTCATAATTAAAAATGCAATAACTCATGTTCACCTTCCAGAATTCACTTCCAAAATATTCAATCTGTTTAAAAATACGATGTGTAATATTCGACAGGCAAATTTCGGTCCATTTTATTTCACTTTCCAAATTCGCTTCCACAAATTCAGTTAGCGCTATTCAACATGCTTTTTTTTGGTTTCAAAGACATATGTACGGTGGCCGAGAAGTGCAGAACAAATCACAATTCTGAAAACAAAAGAACAAATTACAAACGCAAATGCGTGTCACCGACTTTTTGACGCGATCGACCCGGGTTCGATCCCGCCTTTTGCCGAGCTTTTTTCCCCTCCCTTTTCAAATGTCGTATTAGTAATGGATTCTATTTACACTAAGGGTGCGTCCGAAATCGCATACTGCTTAGTACGTACTACATTTGAATTTGAACGTACTACTCGATCGTTAAAAAAGTACGTTCTATATAGTATGAATGCGAGTAGTATGAATGGAATTCGGACGTACTACATCCGCCATATTGATGTTGATGTGTCTTCACAACAGCGCAAAAATTTAAAGAGCCCTCACTACTGCGCGAACATCAGCAATGTTTCACGTTATTCTTACCGCTTTCATCGGCGGTTTAACGTTGATCAGAGAAGGCGTTGGTCAGCTGCTCGCAGATCAGATTTTTTAGGATTACTGATAAACTAGTCATTTGGTTTGTATTATTTGTATTTGTTATTTATTTTAATTTTAGTTAAACTCTGTCTGAATTTATGTCTGTATAGGTCTTTTAAGCTTTTAGTTTTATTTAATTTGAGTTATTTTAATACTTCAACAAGTAGTATGAATGGAATTCGGACGTACTACATCCGCCATGTTGATGTTGATGTGTCTTCACAACAGCGCCAAAATTTAAAGAGCCCTCACTACTGCGCGAACATCAGCAATGTTTCACGTTATTCTTACCGCTTTCATCGGCGGTTTAACGTTGATCAGAGAAGGCGTTGGTCAGCTGCTCGCAGATCAGATTTTTTAGGATTACTGATAAACTAGTCATTTGGTTTGTATTATTTGTATTTGTTATTTATTTTAATTTTAGTTAAACTCTGTCTGAATTTATGTCTGTATAGGTCTTTTAAGCTTTTAGTTTTATTTAATTTGAGTTATTTTAATACTTCAACAAACTAAATGGAAATGAAATAATATATATATAGAATTTATAAATGTGTATCTGTATATATATATGTGTGTGTGTGTGTGTGTGTGTGTGGTTGTACATACACGAATGTAGTTTTTTTTTTGGTGTTTGGCTTAGTGTTATGTTAGAATCGTTATTATACTCATACCTTTTGTTCTTTACTATTTTGAATTGTTTTTAGCTTTATGACATTTTGTTGTGTGTGTGTGTGTGTGGTTGTACATACACGAATGTAGTTTTTTTTTTTTTGGTGTTTGGCTTAGTGTTATGTTAGACGACAGCTTGTAAATCATTTATCAAATAAGGTAAGTACAATCACCCATTTAGCTAGCACATTTGACCTCAGAATAAAAAGTAATGTCTGTGAACACCATGACAGGCTCATTTGGAGCAACGAAATAAAGTAATTTATTGTTATAAATAAATGCATAAAAATACACAGGACATGAATCGATGAATAAACTTCGTGCAATAGACGGATGCCACATCCGGATCAAGCCACCAGCAAGCGATGCCCCATGCTATTGTAATAGGAAGCTGTTCCACTCTGTTCAGCTGCAGGCCATCACTGACCACGAGGGGAAGTTCCTCCATATCTTTGTTGGATATCCCGGGTCTGAAAAGCACAATATCAAGACAGTCAATTACATTCATTAGATTACTGCATTACTATGACATGGAAAAACATTAGCATGATCAAATCATGAACTAATAAAAATTTTGGGGTGAACTAATTAAAAAAAAAAATCTTACTTATATTTTTGTTTTAGGTTCTCCCACTTTCTTTTGACTTGAGCGGCAGAAATTTTGCCCTCAAGTCCCTGCTCTGTCACAATAAATGCACAGAAATCAAGCATAAAAAGAAGGCAGTAAGACCTTTGCTTGAAGTGTTAGTATTTACTACGTTCAGAGTCAACAGCACCTGAATAAAAGTAAATTTTACATAACTTGTTTACTTACTCAAAACCTTTGATGGCAGCATTACGCTTTCCAGTGAAGGCTTCATTAGCCACTCTCCACTAAATGAGCTGAGTGTGTTCATCAGTCCCTGTAATGTTTCCCTGAGGTACTTACACTTGAAAAGAGCCGCGTCGCCTCCTCTCCCATGGCCTCATGGGATAGCAAAGTGTCCATCGTATGCATGCTACGGAATTCGGGCGGAAGTAGTAGGTCATCCGGGTACTTCTTGCCTACTGTTTCTCGAATACTAAATGATTACTTTTCGTTAAAATCTTTATTAATGCCAAAAATGCTTACATTCATGTGTCTTTTTGTTCGCACGGGCAGCCATGTTGCCCCTGAAGCCGGTTTACACTGAGATAATTCATACCCCTTTGTTTGAAGTGTGGTCCCGAAAAATCTTCGATTGAAAGGCTGTCTTGCCCTTCGCCTACCCCTACCCCTCCAACCAAAAGAGAATTGAGACACCCCTACCCCTTCACGTGAACGCGCGAAACAGGGGGGTAGGGGAAAGGGGAAGGGCTAAGGGGTAGAATTGGTGGCATTATTTTTCTTCCATAGATAGATATGGCATAAAAATGGAAATTACCTCATAAATATTTAATAACAAATAAAATAAATGAATTTCAAACTCGTTTATAAATATTACCCTCCCTAGCAATATTACATTGTAAACTGATTTAATTGTGATTTTGATATTCTTTGTACATTTTGTGGTCTACATAAAGAAACGTCTTTTTTGGGGGGTATATTTTTGGCAACAATATCCAGCTTTCAACTTTGTTTTAAAATTGTTTTATTATTATTAGTAGTAGCAGTAGTAGTAGTAGTAGTAGTAGTAGTAGCAGGGATGGGCAGTATTTCAGATACATGTATTTAAAATACGTATTTGAAATACAAAATACTATTTTGTATTTTGTATTTGAAAGCCTTCTGCAAAAATCTAATGTAATTTGTATTTAAATACATTTAAGATCAGTATTTTTGTATTTTCAAAATACATAAAATACTGTGTGCCAGTCAACCTCTTTATCACTGTGCTGATTTAGTTCAGACACACCCCCTAGCCCAACCCCAGCTGCAGCTGTACAACTCCATTCAGCATTGGGTGAGTGACTTTTCTGGAATAAGATAAGGTGAGGATGTCATGGTCAATTGTACATGTTGATTAAAGTTAAAATGGTGCATCATTCAGATTTATATAATACAAGAGCACTGACAAGGGGAAAAATAGCGTTAGCCAATCTGTTTTAATAGTTAATCGGTTGTTGTTTTTTATCAACTAGCTTGTCAAATGTGTTCAAAGCATTACAGCAGGTGAGGTCTGGGTGATATGACAATACATATCGTGGCGATGATATAAAGTGTGAATCGATGGACATTTGTCTAAATCGTTTACATAGATAGGCCTGTTGGGGAAAGCAAATATATCCGTTTAGCGGGCAGGAATTATTCATTCATTCATTCATTCAAAAGGAAGCATGGAGGAATGAGTTATAGAATGTGATGTGCTTGGTGCAATTGCACTTATTATAAGTGTATATGTGTGTGTCCTTTATACTTCTACGGCTCTCAATAGATTCAGTGGTTGGAGTTGGATTAATACTCCTTGACAATTTCTGTTGCTACTTTCTGATTACGTTTCTGGCTACATTTAAAATTAAAACATATTGATCATTTAATAATTGTTGTAATGCTAAAATGTTTGTTTTCAACTTCCAAATAGGTGTCCAGTGATTGATAAATAAATATTTGATTTCTGAATATTGTACCCTAATTGAAGTAGCTGTTTAAATAGTATCATGACTTTACATACCATTGCATGAATGCCTGACACATAATATATTATTATATTTATGATTAACAATCAAATGATTAAGTAGTTAGAAACTAGTTGCAATGGATACAGGTGCCATCAGTTGTCTTCTTATGAATGACTTGTTTGTCATTGAGTCAGTGCTGCTGATGCAAAGTAGGCCCTTCGTTACCAAACGCCATGTAACTAAATTAGGATGCAATTATGAGTCATTCGCAAACTGTTAAACATTATACTGTTGGTTACCTTAAAACTAAACTTCATCTGGGAAATCACAGGGATATGTGAATATTTGATCTTAAACATTAAACTGTTGGTTACTTTAAAACTAACCTTCATCTGGGCCATGTAACTAAATTAGGATGCAATTATGAGTCATTCGCAAACTGTTAAA